AAAATGGAAGTTTGTTTAGGACTTGGGAACAATATGTGTGATGGCATAGATGGCTCAAGTTATTTCATGTGTGCAGAATGAGCTAAAGTGCACTCTCTGGGAAGAATCAGTGAAATTTGTAACTGATGCTTTTGAAAGATGGTTTTCACCTGATTCGATTAATTTATTTGAGTTGATTAATTTACATGCTTTTATGTTAAGCTTGATATGTTAAATTTGGTATAAAGACAGGAATCAGTCTGTGGTATAAATAATGTTTAACTCCTCCCGCCTTCCTAAAGCTGCACTTTAGCTCATTGTCTGCAGTGTTGCCTTGTTTTTTATTTTATTTATTTATTTTGCAACGTCAAAAGGCCAGGCATGTTAACTTCAGCCAGTGCATGTGTGGGTCATTGCTATCCCTTTGTTGATACTGATTGATTAATTTGTAGCTTTAACACACTTTTGGTTCCAAAGAGCTCAGATCAAATGTTTGTGCCAATGATCAGACCCTGGTGATGCAAGACTCCCAGCAACCCTCAGCACAGGTGATCCTCCATCAGACTGTTTTTACAGTAAAACTCCAGTCAGAAGGAGACAATATACACATTCAGAAATGTTACAAATACTATAAAATTGTGTACATTTATTATAGTAGCCAGCTTTTTATTACATTTAGACAAACTTGTTTTAGTGATAATTTGAATAAATACTTCTAAATATTTCTCAAAACTAAAAACCTATGTCTGTGTTTTCTTTTACTTCCCCTCTGTCATATACCAAAAAAAACTAAACTAAATCTAAAATTCAGCAGAGAGTTAAATGAAGAAAACAACCACGATGTGCTGTTCACACAATCTGAAGCACACACACACCCTTCCAACCCAAGCACCCGCCACTCAGCTTCAGATCGGCTATGTACATTATTTTTGACATCAACCATTTAAGGGGACAGCATATTTTACACAAAGTGGCATTAATTAAGTCACTAAACGCACACTATCATGTGTTTCAAAAGGCTGCGGACGAACAAAGACGGTGACAGTGGCAAATCCTGTGGAAGTCAATTAGAATTTTATGCTCATTTTTAGATCTATCTTTTTTAATGATAAATGAAGTTACTAATTTTGTCTGTGCTCTTTCTAGACACTGCAGCTTTAATTGCTAATTGTTAACAGGGAATGAATATATTTACATATTAATTAACTCCTAATTTACATTTTTAATTTTCTGCCTTCAAAGGGTGTGAGACAAAAGGTCATGTTATTTTAAATAATTTATCCTTTATTGCAGAAAACATACTGAAAGGAAAATGTGGGTGTGATTTTTTTAGCCCCAAATACATGTTAAAAATACCCACACACACATTTATTTATCCATCTATCTATCTATATATACGTGTGTGTGTGTGTGTGTGTGTGTGTGTGTGTGTGTGCATGTATTTTGTCAGCTAATTAAATGGGCTAGGAAGAAAAAATGTGCACTCACACAGTTTTTAATACAAAGCCTACTCGGAGAAGCAGAGCAGCTCTGGACGGTTGAGTGAAGAATAGTGAATGCACCAGAGATGACTTCTATGGAAGTCAAGTTTAGAAACCAAATCCTGCTCTGTCTTTTTCTGCTGCCTGTGTGTGTGTGTGTGTGTGTGTGTGTGTGTGTGTGTGTGTGTGTGTGTGTGAGTGAGTGAGGCAACGGGCTTCTTTTTATCACTCCATTTTGTCCTCTCTCCCTCCTGACACATCAATTGATTTGGCAGTCGGTGCCTTCAGTTTCCGTCTTTCACCACGAGGCAGCAGCGAGCAGAGAGGGAACGAACAAGTTCAGAAATTCATTAAGATGAAAAACAGCCGCCACTGTATTTCTTGTGAGGCAAAAATGCTGTGTGTTTCTCTCTTTCTCTATGTGTGTGTGCGTATTTAGGAGTGTGATATGGGTTGCCAGCCAGTTGCTTGCACATTCTGACTGAGCATCATTTATTGGCTTGGTGCCACAAACAAACCAGATCCACAAGCGGCAGCTAGTCGGACGCCAGCACACAGTGCCACTTTTTTTTCTCTTTTGTTGTTGTTGCGACAGACAACACAAAATTCAGAGGTGACAGAAATGCATACAAAGTCAGTAAAAGAGATAAATGGACCAAGATGGACATAACAACTTCAAACATGGCTTCACTACAGATGGAAATTTTGAAACTTTTCTTGCCCTCAAACTCTAAGTCCAACCAGCTGAAATGCTCTGCCCACCATAGTTTTAACAATAAATAAATAGATAAATAGATAGATAGATAGATAGATACTGTATTTGTGACCACCAATGCTAATCATTGACATGTTTGTACAAACACTCCTCATAAAGACGTATGTGTTGCTTCAGCCAAATGTGCAAAATTGTTAAAATTACAGTAAACATCACAACATAGCCCTGTGATGCTTATTGCTTTCCCAGAGAAACAGATTGTTTTTGGATCCCATTTATAAGTAGAATTTGTACATATTCCACACATTTTGCAATGCGTATTTTATTTTACACACTGTAATATCTGATGATGTTTCTCATGAATTTCGGGGGTTACTTTTTGGACTCTAATTTTCATACTGCCTATGTTTCTAAACTGATTTTACATTTGTTGTTTAAAGGCAAACTTGTGAGGTTACAGTAGTTTAGCTGAACAATAACTGTGCTCAGTAATATTCACACACAAAAATGGATTTTAATATGTTCAAAGGAATGTGAAACCGCTTGTGGTGAGGACGGTGACAATGGGAGGGAACAGATCCTTCAATCAGATGCACATCTCTAGGCATCAGCAGTCTAGAACCAACATACAGAATACATTAGAATATTTTATATTTGCCATATATGTACATGTAAATGTGGCATGGAAGAAAAGAATAGGACAAAATAGCATGCCACACAAAGAAAGAGATACTTAAAGTATATTTTAAAAAACTTACAGAAAGAAGCAAGGGACCATAGGCTATGTTAATAACTTTTCTTGTGCTCTACAGGTTTTATCTTTTGGTGTTTTGTACCTATATGACACATTTTTGGCAATTTCCTAGACTGATACCTCATTATAAGGCTCCAGTCTTTCAAATAATAAGGTGAAATAAAAAAAACAAAATCCATAAAGTAGATAAATCACATAAAAATACATGATCAATAAATATACCAGGCTGATGAGTCATTATAGTTTGTTACATTTTTGGAATCAAATTGATTTTAAAAAAATGACCAATTTAAGTGAAAATTTGACTCAGCGCCGTCCTGTCTGAGCTTATACTGCAACCAACTATTTATTTATTTATATATAAAGCATTGGGTGATAAAGCACATACACACATTTATACACTGCACATGTACACACACATTCTCACAGTGTATACACTATGTACAGTACATGTAGACATATTTGCGCATTATGTGTGTGTCTTAGTTAAAATGATTAAGGGGAGAAATTCAACCACCTCTACCAATTACACACCAGCCTCTTGTGTACATAAACAGTGCAATTTATGTCCCATTGATCTGTCTGCTTGTTTCAACAGGAGCACATTATGGCCACCGTCCTTTTGTCTTCTGCCTTGCTTCGCTCTCTGCAGCACGAGAGCAGAGCAAGGAAAGCATTCCAAGTTCTTTTGTACTCCCCGTGTCCCTTTGAACAATGAATCGTATTTAACAACAAGAGAGGAAACAAGACACTGCTCGCAAATAAGAAGGCAGCAATTCAGTGAGGAGCCAAGATGGGTGGGTGTAGGAGAGGCAGTCTGAAAGCCAGGGTAAATGTTGTGAAGGGGGTCGACAGGGCCGAGAGAAGGTTTTGCAGGGCCCTAACCTGAACTGGACACCCCACATTCCAGTTTCTTGCCTTTTTTTATTTTTATTTTACTTATTTATCTGTGAGGTACTTACAACAAACCACTTAAAAATATATAAAGATGTTGTAAAAATATTAAAGCACCTAGAACTTGGATCTAACTTCAGTTTTTTTCTTTATAACAAATAAATGTTGATGTCTAAATAAGCTGAAATCAAAGATAAAGTCTGAGAAAAATTGCCTAGTTATTATACTTAGGAAGAGTTTAACAGAGGGTACTGACGTACATGTTAGGCAGACCTGCACATCCAAGCAAGCTGATTGGTTGGCTCAACTCCGACCAGGACTTGGATTCCAAACAGGGTTGGAAACAAATGTAAATGTACTACAAACAAGTATACAGTAAAAGAAACCACTGCATAAATGCTCACCCAAGTGCAGCTTGCAGAAGTATATTTCCAGTTTAAGAATCAGAATGGGAATGTAGTTTTTCAGGCTCTTTAAAGTAAAGTAAACACTATATTATTTCTTCCAAAAGAATTTCACTTCACAGTTTTAATTTGCTTAGATCTGGGTCCCCCTTGTGGACATGAGGCCCTGTCTGATGCTTCTGCTCATTTTGATATTCAGTGTCTTCAGTTTGACAGAAATAAAAAAGGCTCCAAATATTTCACACAAATGTGTTGTGTAAAAAGTGTCTGACACAGCATTTAAAAAATTTCTCCTAATTTGAAACCAGACTCATTAAATTATTTCAGGGTAGCAGCTGTTGACATCTGCCCATCCTAAGCAGGAATATTTCACATACATTACTGACATGTAACCAACATTTTAGTTGTTGTCCAAGGACACTGCCTCATTTCAGAGGTGAAGCATAACTGTATTAATGAAGAGCCAAAAACAGTTCTATATTTTAACCCAACCTCAGTCAGAATGATCCCATGTTACAGAATCTCATCTATCAAAGGGGGTTTTAAAAACGTTCTATTCTCCTTCCCTCTTTTGCTTTGTCGGGGGTGGGGGGTGGGCTGGGGCGTGATCTGTGTTTTCCACCATCCACACAAATCTGCCACCTCCAGTGATTGATGCAGTCAAATTAGATGTATGTGGAACACTGGCTCTGGCAAATGAAAACATCAACTGATGACCGGCTGTTTCTAATTATTATACACTGGTTAATTAGGACGCCGTGTCACCATCAACGATGGTGGTAAACTGTGTGAAATTCATAATTCATGCTCTGGCGTCCAATGAGCCTCCCTGATCAAACCGGTACAGTGCGGCATGGATGGAGAGGCCGTGCAGAAAGAGACCAGGAAGGGTGGATGATGCATTACCGTTGCCAAATGTGTGTGTGTGTCTGTGTGTGTGCCTATGTGTGTCTGTGTGTTCGCGCCTTTCCCTCACACCTCCTGCTTCTATCCCTCTCTGTCTCTCTCTCAGCAGGGTGCGTGTGTAGGTGGCGGTGTGAAATGTCTGGATCTCAAAGGTAAGCTGAGCGCCGCACTCCATCATTATTAAATATGACTGAGGACTTTATGTGACATTCATGAAGCACAGATTTTATTTATTTATTTTACATTTTACCTATTCACTGAAAGTGTAATTAGAACATATGGAATACCTGACCAAAAATATCTTATATGGTTTTAAAATTTCTACGGTGGGGATAATTTTAATTCGATTTCAGTTTTATTTGTATAGCACCCAATCACAACAAAAGTCGTCTCAGGACACTTTACAAACTATTATTGCAGAGGAAAAATATGCATGATATATTTGATACTGAGTATTAATAGATCTCTCACACATACAGTACAGTACACACAGTATCATACATTTACTGTAAGTCTTGAAGACTAATGAAATGTTTATTTATGGAATTGATCTTGTAAAACACCACGTGCACAATCTTTGTTTGCTATGCTTTATTACTTATTTTTATGTTTATGAAAAAACCTAATGCAGAACTCCCGTTAGAAATTCACCCTGAGTGGAGCTAACCGCTGGGTTGGACTACGAAATGACACCATCACTGGACTCTAATAAGGGGGATAATTCTCTTCTTCTTGAGGCAACTTTCTAGAAATTTGACAGTGTATAAAAAAACAGTACAGAATATGTTAGCTCGCTCACAAGAAAATAAAACCAGCAAAATCCTCCAAACAATTTTATTTCCTAACGAAATGTAATTTTGCCCTAATCACACCTGTAAATCCTAATTTAAAGGCACTTAGGGAAGAGTAGTTAGAGTAGATCTGACCCTGGTCAGGAGCAGCCTAGGCCACGATGAGGAACTGAGGTAAGTTGGGCAGGCAGGAACAGCGTCGGTGTGGCGGAGAAGCCAGGAGCACACAGACGAGTTGAGCAGGCAGGTGAGACGTGGTCATAGCTGAGGAGCCGGGAGCACACAGGTGAGCCATGCAGGTAGGAATGGCATTGGAATAGTTGAGAGGCCAGGAACCCACAGGTAAGTAGTGCAGGACAGGAATGTTGTCAGTGTAGAGGTAAGATGAGCAGGTGAGTCAAGCAGACAGGAGTAGAGTCGATGTCGCTGGGTAGTCAGGAAACAAACAGCAGGTTGTGCAGAACAAGAGTCGTGACAGCATCACTGGAGGGTCAGAAGCGCACAGGTAAGTTGAGCAGGGCAGGCATGTCGACAGCTACAGTACCTAAGTGTCTGGCAGGAAGAAAGCCACATCTGTGTCAAATTTGAATCCTTTGGATGCTTTTAGTGCTCTCCATCTCCAACATGCCAAACTGATGTTAACCCTGGTTTTGCCTTGCTCTTTCTCGCACTCTTTCTGTGCTACAGAACGTGGCCACATGGTTCTAAGGATGGTGCTCCCATCCTAAATTTGATTTCCCACCTTCACATTAACTTAATCCTAACCCAAACCCTACATTTGAATATAGCAATTACATTAAATTGAATCTAATTCCAGTTCAAATTCTAAATGTAACCTAAGCTGAAATTGTAGCTTCACAACAAAATGTACAATAGCAATGTTGGTCCACAGCATAAAACATAGTAGTGTCACAATAACAGCTGTAAAACTGTGTCAGGGCAAAGTCTGTTGCATTGCATCCAAGCATCCTCCTTCATAGTCTTCATCATGATTATTTTGGCGTTTGTCAAACATTACTGCCACCAACTGTGGATACAGTAACTAGCATAGTGTCTGTTGAAGGTATACAGTTTGAAACTTTATAATGTTAAAAACATTAGCAGTTAGGGTGGATAGATGGGTCAACCAAACACTTTTCATGTAGAAAACCAGAGATCATGTCCTTTGTCTGATGTCACGTCTTAACCTTAACCATCTAGTTTGTGTGCCTAAACCTAAAGAGCCCTTGGCATGCTTTTCCTTGTTTTTTGACTTATCTACAATGTTTCAACAGTGGATTACTATTTTAGATGTGACCTAATGAGGTGTACATATGTTCTACTATTTCTATGCAGAAGCAACTGTGTTTATACACATCTCGCAAACTCTCGCTCGCGGGACTTTTTGTCTACCAAAATAAAGTATTACGTGATAGTTAAATTAAGGATCTCTTTGAATGGTCATAAAATCCAGGCCATTGCACATTCATGTGAGCTTGCCTGACATCCACCTATGCCATTGTAAAAGCATAATTTTTCGACTGCGACCGGTTTTGTGGATATATTTTCCACCCTGCTGCTGCACTGTGACCAGAGGATATGGAGAAACATACAGGGCCTGAGGTTAGTACATGTCCGGGAATAATCCCGTACAGGGACTCATTGTTTTACTGTTTTATTAATGATCCATGATGTTATTGTTGGTGCTACGCTACCTTTTGGAATTATTTTCACTACTGTGGGACTGTACGTGGTTGTGTGGGGGAAGACGCAGCGACCACCAGTTGGATTTACTGACCTTGGACCTACTTGAAAGGGAGTGATGTTTCCACTACTCTGTGGGACTTAACGGTAAGTTTAAAAAACAGACGTTGCATGTCTGTTAATGTCTTGTTTCTGTAACGTTAAGGAGAGGCTGGAGAAGTTACTATGTCTGCATTATGCCAGTTAAAATATGGGCTTTCTCAACTACCTGCTTTGTTTAGAGTGTTACACATCTTTTTTATCAGTACATACACCATTGTTTACCTATCTATGGAGGAGAAATTCATATTAATTAATGCCATCATGGTTCGTTGTACTGTCCACTTGTGACACAACACTGGCAGCAGGAGTTGTGCGCATTCACAAACTATCCTCTTGTTTTAAGGAAGAGGTTTTTTGGCTCTCTGATTCTGAAACAGTTACAAAGTATTTGGAGTTATGAGGGGTGCCAAGCTGATCTAGAAGTACCCAAGATTAAACATTAAAACGAGCAAAATGAGCAGCCATGGGGACTTTAACCACGTAACATAGCTTCTGTGCCTAAACATAATCATACTTTCAGTTTCAATTTTCAATCAAGAAAAATGTTGCAATGTCACAGTTTTTGAGGTGTTTTGGTGAGAATAATACATTCTGTGTTGTGGACCAACTTAGCTATTTTACTTATCATACAACAACTCCAAACCAAGCAATAAATCCCAGGGGAAAACAGACAAAAGGCATAGTCTACAAATGGGTAAGTGATTCAAACATGAGGAACATTGAGATGAGCACAGAAACAGGAGTCTGGAACACTCAGACTATGAAGAGCACACAGGACGATCTGGCAGAGGACACTCAAAAAACAGACAGGTATATTTACTGGGAAATTGATGGGAGAAGTGGAAACTGGTGTGCAGCTGAGCAGTCAGGTGACCGAGAACAGAGGGGAAGAGAAGGAGTCTGAGATATTTGGAGGTGAGATCAAGAAATGACACTCAGTAAGAATCCCCAGAAAAGAACGGCAGCCAGACAAAAGGGCTGAGACAGGAAGTGAATATTTGCTCCTCTGTGTCCTGCTGTTGTAACCCCTGTGGTCTGAATTCAACTCACTCAAGGTCTCACTTCTTTTGTCAAGCCATGACAATTAGCTTATGAACATCTGGGGCTTATGTGAAATGGTGTTTGTTCACATGCCTGCTAAAAATATACTGTAAATACAGAATAAACCATGATATTAGATTGTTTTTCAGAAAAACACCATACTTGCTGTATCTAAACACATCAAGTCGGTTTCACAACATACTGGTGAGAAGGATTCTGTTGCAAAGCTGAACTGAGATTTTGAACAAGGTTTCCCCACTTCTGGTATGGAACCTAGAATTTCTGCTTTCACTTCAGCTCGTCAAAGCACAGCAGCAGACACATCTGCATAGCAGCAGTGTGAAGTTGCGTGTGATGCCATGATGGGCTTCACTGTCGTCATGCACTGATGACATCTGACTGCGGGTACCGCAGCCTTATTATCTTCCCAACACAGGGCGGATTAGAAAAATGGGATTTCAGACGGCTCTCCCTTCCACCCCACACACCCTCTGCCATCACTCAGTTAAGTGATTATTGTTAAAACAGAGGGGAAACGTATCATTTCGGAAATAATTATGATAGTAATTATCATTCCCCCCTTCTTTGCTGAAGAGATAAGAATTCACCCAGGGGGAAGTGGGGGGGTGCGTCTTAAAAGTCACATAGATTTGTTTGATCAGTCACAGTTTGATTTGGAGTGTGACTTCTGATCAGGGCTGGGGAGCAACAGTAATCTGATTACAAACTGTTAAATTCAGTAGCACCAGCAAGCATCAATATTACTTAGTATAAAAATGTAGGATGTGAGGAAGTGACACATTCCAGTCATCAGATGACCAAATAATGATAGTGAACCCTTATTTTCACTCCTTAAAAGACCACAATCATTTAAAAACCATAGGATAAGTGGCTGGATGAGAAAATAAAATTAAAAATGTGGGAGACAAAGTGAAACAAAGAGACTTTAAACAAGGAAAACTCATATCATATTTTTGAACAGATGGCAGATGAACATTAAATAGTCAAATACTGTTCATATGGTGGTATTTGTAAAAAATACATTAAGGTGTTTATAACAGTGTATGTAATAAATATGGTGTTAAAGTGCACATTAATCAGTAAACTATTTCATGTTTTGTATGCATAATCTTAGTATGCAAAGTAAAGCAAATGTAGTGCACTATAAAGTACAATGTGTCTATCAAGATCATTAAAATTGCACTTAAATAGATGTAATTGATATATTACACCATGAGGCTCTGGTAAAGAATAATAATCTATTTATATGTTGTTATTATATAACATTAAATTGTTTCTTCTCTAATCAGTTCATTCCCAACTTTTCTGATTTTGAAGGTAAGTATCTCAAAGTAATCAGACAATGGTGGAGAATTTTAGAATAATTTTAGAGAAGAGTTTATTGATTACATCGCTGTGCAGGCAGGCAGTAAAACACGGATACTTAAGAATTCACATCTTCGAAGTCCAATCATGAAAAACTACATCCTGTTTCTTTTAACTGGAGCTGTCATCATTATTTCTTTTTCTCTGTTGCTGATTGAGTCTCAGAACTTTATTAAAAATGAAAACACACACACACACACACAAATAAACTTAGCCTTAAAGGAATTTGTTTTGTCATGATTTTTGCTGAAATAGTCATTTCAGAAAAAGAATAAAGCACATTTAGAGCCGTGCAGTTTTGCCTGTTAGCAAACAGCCTTCCAATTATCTTCCGTTTGATTGCTTGCTTCTATCAAGGTGAGCGATTAGACCACCGCTCCTGTGAAGCTCTGGAAGTCGTCCTGAAATCGCTGCACTTTGATTTCATCAATCTGCAGGCTGCTCAACTGGAAGAAAATGTGAGTTTTATGAGCAAAACTTATTTTCCCCGTCTTCGTCTTCCAATTCCAGTACAGTTTCATATTCAGACCTTACCTTGTATCAGATTAGAGGCTATTTTTTCTTGCCAAAAGAACTTCATAACATTCCTGTCAAATCTGGGACCTTACTTTCTTTATTTTTTTCTTCTTCACTATTTTTTCTTCTTCCAGGGAGCATCGTCCTTGCTGGATATGATTTTGTACTATGAATCTACAACCCATCTTGACATTTCTGACAACAGTAGTATGGGAACATCTGGTTGGAGGGCCCTCGCTCATTTGATAAAGCAGGTTGGCTGACACAGTAATCTTTTCTTGTAGGCTTTCTCTGGGGGATAATGTACATTGTAGAACATGAGTTTGTTGTGTATTACGTTGATTGAAGATGCAGGGTAGAGCAAACAGGGTTTAACATCCTCCAACTTCAAGCATGAGCAAAAACATCACAACACACACACTGGGCTACTGGCAGTGTTGGGAAAGTTACTTTTGGAATGTAATAGGTTACAGATTACTAGATAGCTTGTTGAAAATGTAATGTATTGTTATGTAACATAACTTTTAATTACTTCATCAAAGTCATGTAACCTTTTACATTTGATTGTTTTTTGATTACATTTCTAACAAATGTTTTAAACTGTGCAATAAAGCTAAAAAGTTCTAACATACCTTTAAAATCAGGCAGCGTAAACCTCACAACAGTCCTCAACAGTTATTACTATCATCATCCATCCTCCCATTATCTTGACTGCTTATTCCCGAACAGGGTCACAGGGTATTGTTGTCAAACGCTTATTAAAAGTTCTTCAACATAACTTCACTTACAGTGTAGAAAAATAGTATTGCAATACTATATACTGAACACATAACACAATGGGGTAGGAGGTACTTTATTTTATTAGTAATGTTAGAGCCCTCTCCTGATTTCACAAGGAAAATACTGTTAATGCTCCACCACACAAAGAAATTCTTATCCGATGACATGGCCGTCCACCTGGGCATTGTCACCTGGTTGCAGCCAGGCATCATGCTGCTTACAGCAATGTGCATTGATTTTATGGGCAGATGAGGGGCGAGAACCAATCAGCATGGCCAAATGAATGGAGCCTCTCTAGGTGTAGAGACAGCTCCGTATAATCCATCCTACCCTTGGTGGTGCTGCACTCAAATGTGTCCTAATTGCTTTGCTGGCCCACTGCATGGTGAAAAGACAGAAAGCAACAGAATGAATGTTATATTCTACATACTGTATAAGCATTTTCCTGAAAAGAATAATTCTGACGTAAGCCCCTTGTAATCACCAGAATTTTGATTAGTAACTGAAATTTAATTGCATATTTTTCTCAGCAACTTTAACAGATTACAGTTACTTTTATTTTATTAATTATTTTGTTGGTTACCTTTAAATACACAACACTGTTACATGTCACTAATTACTCCACAACACGGGCTACTGCATCATCACAGATAATAATATCAGGCATAACTAAATGGATTTCCATCAACATTTTAACCCAATTTTGAGAAAATTATCAACATAAAATGCTAAATTGTGCTTCTAACTCACTACCTTTGTGCAAATATTAGACAATGGTTCATAAAGTTAAAGACATGGTGGCTAGTTTTCTAGCCAGGTGCCACTGAACTATTGAATTAATTTGCTGTTTGCTTCCATTCCACTTTGGTGCATTTTGCTTTTATCAGTACACCACCTTTCCTACTTTAGCCAAGCATAAAAACATTTTTACAATATTTTGAGATTTTTTTTCAGCATTCCACTGAGGCTATAACTTCAGCTACTGATTAACTGTCAGGTGACAACTGATCGATCCAAGTCCAGACGTTAATACTGATTGACTTTCTTGTCTGCATGATTAGAATGAGACATGTAGAAGGCAAACAATCTAAAGACTTGAAGCAGGACTTTGACTTAAGATTATTTATTCATAAGTCTTAAACTGCTTTCCACTCTACTATTTTGCTATCTGCCATTGTACAGCAATCAGAGGGTTGTAAAGGGGACTGCTACCTGTTTTATCAAAGTAGCAAAATTGATGCAAGCTTTGTAAGCTGACCGCTAACTAACTGACTGCAGGATGTGAACTCTGGTGTCAAAGTCCTGAGCTTTATGCACCCAAATATCCACCCTGAACTCCTCCCTCTGTGCAGGATCAGGAACTTACACAGCCTGAATTCTAAATCAAAGTAATTATAGTTCCTCCCAAATATATTTGGCAAATCAAATAGTAGATTATAAGCATATTTTGCAGGGGTGGCTTTAGTCGAGCATTGTGTTAAAGTATATTATCACTCATGTTTCGACAAAATTTAACCTGCAGCATGTCAATTAATTTAATTTAAAGGTGTTATATTTCATTATTTATTTGGCTTTTAATTACTTTATCATTCTCTCCTACCAAAGGCAATCATACCACTCATTCCTACATCATGACTTCTAAATCTACCCTCAGATAATTCTAGCACCATCCTCCACCAGTGTCCCCACTACATTTACCACTAGTACAACCCCAAACCCATACTCATGATGTCCCATAGCTGCTCCAACCAGTCCTCAACAACCTGCTGCAGTATGGACCTGACCCATCGCTCAGGCTTATTTTATCCTTCCTCCTGGATTCTTCTTAGTGTTTGATGAGAGCAACATCAGACAGGTCTGTTCGGCTTTCGAGTGCAGTTCTTCACTACCACCTTCTCCACTTTTCTTTCAACGGGCCTGAGTGTCTGACAGCAGATGGTGAAGCTTTTTTCATTTGGCCAGATTAGACATTCTGACACATCATCAACTCACTCACTGTCTGTATTGAACTTATTTCTGCACAATGTGAATGTGTTTCAGAGTGTGCGTCTGTCCAGGCTGGATGTATGTAACGTGCCCATGGCTGACTACCCGGCCCAGTCTCTATCTCAAGCTCTGCTGACCAGCCGGCTCACAGTGCTGCACCTTCATAATGCCCAGCTCAGCGGCATGCCCCTGTACACTCTAGGTATGACGTGCACACAAGCGTACACACAAGTGTTTGGCTGTCTATAGTTATGAGGACATTCACTGGCATAATGAATTCTCTAGCTCCTTAGCCTAGATTTAACCTAAATCTAATTCTAAACTTAACCCTAAAATCAGGCTTAACCCTCAAACAGCCCTTTGAAGTCGGGAGGACTGGATGAAATGTTAAATTAAAATGTGTCCACACAGCCACTGAAACACAAACACACACGTGGTGTTTCCATCACTTCGGGGGACACTACATTGACTTACATTCATTTTCTGGAGAATTAATAACCTTAACCCTAACTATGACTTGCCTAACACCTAATACCTAACCTCATTCTAATCCTTAAGACAAGTTATTACTCTAAAATGTAACAATTTACATTTTGAGGACATGCTTTTTGTCCCCATAAGAACGTTGAGTCCCCATAATGTGACTATTTAAACAGATTTACGACCCCACTACATGAGTAACACCAGGTCACACATGCACACACACATTTATTCCTCACTGAACATGACTGGGCTTCAGCTTCTGAATATCATTACACTAGAATCTTATTTGTTTGTTAAATAACTTTGATGTCAGAGTGTGGACTGTGTGTCCAAAGCGCTGTGTACAAGCATGTTCAAATTTGCGTCTGTGCGTGTAGGTGGACATGTTTGTGTGTCCTGTGGCCAGCAGGACCAGATTTTGACCTGTGATCTTCTCTGCAGGTCTGGACCCGGATTAGAGGCCTAATCTCTTACCTGTCACTTTACACACCACTGCACATATCTATAAAGGCTCTGGCAGCCAGGACACACACACACTCACATGCATACAAACACTCACAGCATATGAACACTTATTTTGTTTATGATTTTGTACCAGACTCTGCACCAGAGTCAAATTCCTCGTGTGTCCAACACACCTGGCCAATAAAGCTTATTCTGATTCTGATTCCCATCAGCTATTAAAAGTGTAGTTTGAAATAAACAAAGAGAAAACTCAGTGACTTCAGTGAGGTCTCTCACCTTTACAAATGGACTGCTGCTGTATCTCTGAACAGTATCTGAGACAATAGATAAAGGGAACAGGGTAGTGGGATATTGCTGGGGTCACATGACCCACAAGTGAATAGGGTGTACACATACACACACATGGATGAGCACAACACTCAGATGGGGGTTGAG